GGGTCCCTATGACCTTATTTCTTCTCCCTTTTGAAGTTGGTCCCAATTTCCAGAGATTCATGAGAAACAAGATTCAGATAGCACTCTGCCCAATTACCAGGATTAGCCAAATTTTTACATGTAGCATTGCCCAAAACTCCATAATAACTGTGTTATATATCTCTAGTTATCCTGAAATGCACTGGAAATTTCTCAAATTCAAAAAAAATAGAATAAAGTTGGATTTGTGTAATTTTTATAATGCCACGATGAAAAAATATTTGGCTAGTGTTACGGTAGAATCATTAATTCAGAAGGCAGGGAAATACAAAAACAAACAGTACCTGTAAATGACAAAACTGTTAAGTATTGAGAATCACTATGGTCAGCAGAGAAATAACGTAAATGATGTTCCTGTTCTACAGCTGGAATCACTTCCTAACTAGCTGCTTAAAATAAGAGGTTTTTCAAAAGCAGACATTGGGCATTTTGGGGGTTACCGACTTTACTGGAGTTCCCCTACCCTGGCTGGTTAGCTGGCGTGCATGTAAAACGTGCTGCTTTATTAAATCTTTTTGAGATACTGGCAGCAAGAAGGATTACAGTGTTGTAGTACAATTGCAAATTTTCTCCCATATCTGGTTCCCAAGCCCCCCAAAATCAAGCCAGCTCCCACACCCGAGGCAGACAGAGGTATTACATACTTGCATTCCTTTCTATTTTTGTCTGCCTTCTTTGTATTGATAAAGACTTCGCATTCTTTTTTTCCCTTTTATTTCTGGAAGTTTTCAACTTTTTTATTATTTAGTTCTAACTTTGATATTCTAGCATGCATACTTCATTTATCACATTCCTTACAATCCAAAAGGTATCCTGCATTTTCATCTTCTCAACAAAGACAAGAACTCAGTAACCTTTGACTAATTACTGAGCATTTTTCCATCCCCATATGGGTGTATTTGTGCAGCATTTTACTTTCACCTTTATTAATTTATTTTTATTTTATTTATTTTTTTTTTTAACGTTTATTTATTCTTGAGACAGAGAGAGAC